TGACAACTTAAATAACTTTTGATCCAGTTAATATTTTTAGCTGATTTTTTTTTTAAATAATAGTTATACGTTAGGTCTATAGCTATATCTCAATAATTAATTTTTTTACATTTTATTAAAAATATTAATTATTTTTAAATTTTAAATAAAATGTAAAAAAAAAATCTAAGATAGCTATTTTGTAGAGTAGAATTTAAGAAAAATTTTAGTAAAAAAATATCTTATTAATATTCAATAGTAAATATTCTGTAGCGTTTTGAAGTTTGTGAAAATTTGAATTTTCATGTACTATTTTACGGTATTAAACATTGAAATACGTATTGAGAAAAGGACAGAAGAAAACGCTATCTTTTCAATATACTTTTGAATGAGAGTGATAAGTAATAATTGCCTTATCTAATTTCTTATCATGGTATTTATGCCAAGTTTGTAATGTATACACATTATCATCATATGTATACACAGTAATCATGAAAAGATAGCGTTTTCTTCTGTCCTTTTCTCAATACGTATTTCAATGTTTAATACCGTAAAATAATACATGAAAATTCAAATTTTCACAAACTTCAAAACGCTACAGAATATTTACTATTGAATATTAATAAGATATTTTTTTACTAAAATTTTTCTTAAATTCTACTCTACAAAATAGCTATCTTAGATTTTTTTTTTACATTTTATTTAAAATTTAAAAATAATTAATATTTTTAATAAAATGTAAAAAAATTAATTATTGAGATATAGCTATAGACCTAACGTATAACTATTATTTAAAAAAAAAATAAGCTAAAAATATTAACTGGATCAAAAGTTATTTAAGTTGTCAGTGAGTGGTGGGCCAACCTGTATATTGTTAAGCGAGTGTTACTTAAATATAGAATAATTTATAAGTGATTAAAATTATTGTTTATTATTTAAGTCTTTACAGTTTGTTGAATACAGGTTTAATCGTAATGATTAAAGTGAATGACTAAGTTCTTGGAAAATTATCAGTCTGTCATGGAAACTCTATCATTTCGGATATACTAAAAGACGGTAAATGTTTATCACTTTCTTATTACTGAGGAATTAATTTCTAAATATAAATATGTGATTCAAAACCACTCTAATTCAAAATATATTCAATCTCTTGTTCGTGCTATATATTATGTGGTATTTCTTTATTTACTAAAATGTTACAATGTATAGATGATGTTTTAATTTTATTTTATAGGGTTAAATAAAATGAGACTTGTTCACTTTTTTGATGATAAATATTTCATAATAGCTGCTATAAGTAATACATCAATTAATAAATTTTGGATAAAAAATAGTATATAAAAAAAATTGGCTATTATTACTTCTTAGCTGAATGTGATCTGTTCATCGAGAAAAATTTTTAAAAATTGATTATAATCTACATTTGTTTATCGAACTAAGAAACATGTTGACCCTACATCTAGTTTTTTTTAATTTTCCATTTCAAAATAGTAATGAAAGGAGTGGTAATCTTGTTTTAAAATATTAAATCGACCAATACTTATAAAGTTCCTATATTGAAGATTTAAATTATACAATTTAAATACTATATATACATATAGTGTGCCATATGTAAAATTTTTAATATTTTATTAGTTTATAAATATATACTTAGAATAGTATTAGATTTTTGGTCTTCATCAAATACAGCAACCCTTTATCATAATGTGGTGTATCTATAGAGCGAGTGTTAATTGTTAGTGAAGTAACAATAACTAAAATAAATATAGTTTAAAAAACTAAAAAAACACGCTTAAATTAGTTTCACATGTATGTTTGTAACTCTACACGCGTCAAATGTTATTATCTCGTCGTCTATGGCCTTGAGACTAGACTGTTGTAACGCATTCACCCCACTCCGCTCACCACTGACGACAACAATATTTTCCTGTTTAATTTAATTTTTGGTTTTCGCACCCGTACATGCATGCGTATCGTCAATATTATATATAAATATAAACAAATTTTTATTGTTTATTATCAGATATAAATATTTAAAGATTCAAATTTTTTTGAGTTAATTACATGTATAATACATAACGGATTACAAATACAGGTAGCTAATTGGTTTTTTATGACGATATTAGCAATCATATAGCCTTTATTATCAATGGTAATAAGACACATTGCTGTGAGTTTACAAACACACAAATTGGCAATATAGAAATTATATCTATTGATAGTGATAATAGACAATAAACAATCCGTGACTGTAACAGTGTTGTCATAAAAAACCAAAAAGTGAAAAATAATATAGTTAAAAGTGTTTCATCTATCCTTATATATGTACAATTAATTGACTAATTAACAATAATACTCAAAAATAAAATCAAATTATGCTAATAATTTTAAAAATATTCTTATACAAATGTAGATTTTAAAAAAAACCCAGTACAGGGGGGTCGCGACACAGTGATGACATAGCATAGTTGGATCAAGTGTAATGATAAAAAACGCTTTGATGCAAATCTTTAGATAGTGTTTATTTTTAAAAAATTGGTAGATTATTCCAAAAGCTACATGATCTGCTATTTTCTTATTTATATCTTAATTAAGATTAATTATGTGGAATGAAAGAGGGATATAAATATTATTTTTCATGAAAAAATTGTATTGATACAAACACTATTCAATAAGTTATAGCATTATAAAGTTAAACATTTTAAATATAAAATCGAGAATTTTCACACAAAAATAACATTTGGTAGCCATTTTCACAGTGTAGACAAAATAAGTTCAACATTTTTTTTTCCATGATAAAGTATATTATATTAGCTTTAATTTAAGATATATATAAAAATGTTAGACTTTCCGGAACACTTTCAAAAGTTAAGTTGAAAAAGTTGCTATTTTAAATCCCCCCTGTGGACAGGTAAAGGGTCAGATTTATAAGAAAAATATACCAAATAAAAGTTAAAAGACATCATGCATCTACAAAACAAAAATATATTGATTTGGTTATTTTTAAAACGTTATGGTAGTTTTAAGTAAAACAAATTTCGAAAATTTGCGATTTTTAAATTTGTAATTTTTTTTGGAGATTTCCCCCATTTACATGGAGATTTCCCATTAGAGAAATTTTTTAAGGGTAATGTCTTCGACTAGATACATTTTATTATCTTTTGACGTATCGTTGAAAGAAATCGGTACAGTGAGAGGTGAGTAAAAGTAGTAACAGGCAAAAAAGATATTATAGTAAAACCAATACTTTCTCAGTTTCGCATTGAAGCTAAAAGGTAGTATATTCCGTCAAACTTACTTTGTAGATATTTGACTTTATTTTTGACATAAATTAGACATTCTTGTTTAACAATATGGCTTGGTGGATAAGTAATATCATTCCACAAGTAGCTCTTTTGTAAAGACGATGTTGATATATTGTTTATAAAATAAATAAATTTTTGTAATTCATACTTTGTGTCACAATTATCCATTTTAATCGTAAGATTAATAGTATTAACAGATATAAAAATATTTTTTTACAAAAAAAAAAACCTAAATAATAAAAATTAAAAATTAGTCGATACTATACAATTTTATATGTAGCTATCTAAAATGTCAAGGATACTGATAAATCTTATAAAACAAATTTTATTTTTATATTATTTAATAAATTTATAAAATAACGGCGTGGTCAGTTGTGTAATTTAAATAATTTGTAGTGTTTTATTTTTTAATGGAACCTTCACTTTACGTAAACAGTACTTCTCAACGATTATATGTATTTATGCCATATATAATTTACTCCACCCATAAAATTTCTGAAAACCAAAAATTTTAATTCACTTATTTACTTTTTGATTTAAATCATTATTACCATCAAATATAAATTAAGCATTTGATATTAATTATGACATAAATTACGATGTTAATTAATATCATAATTTAAATATATATTTTAATAAGATAAAAATTTTATTGATATTTTTTAACCCATTGAACATAATGGAAAATTTATTTATTTTAAGAACGACGAAAGTATTTTTAAAAAATTAAAATAGAAATATAACATTTATATAAAAAAATCATTTTTTAAAATTTAATAAACCTATGAAAAGGTGGTTAAAAACAAAATTATGAGTGCTTAAAATAAATATGTTTTTCAAGTATTTTGCTATCTGTTAAAAAAAATTAACATAAACAAAACTATGACAATATTTACAATCTTTTATGGTCATTTAAAATGATGTAAAATATAATTTATTTTTGTAAAATATTTTATTTTATTGAAAATATTATTTTTAATACGATTAATATAATCGTAATACAATCGATTAATATAATAGTTAATATAACTATTGGATATATAAATTTTTAATTATTATTAGAGACAAATAAAAAATATGCTTTTACCATAGTCCAAACCTAAATTTGTTTTAAAAAAAAAGTAAGGCAAAATATTAGCTGGATCAAAAGATTAAAAATATCAGAACATGGTAGAATATCTGTATAGTGTTTATGTTCACCCATTTGTATGATTTAAATCAATTGAGATAGTACGAAATTTATATTATTATAATTAATTAAATGTTTAATCATTACTATCACTTTTAATAATATATTTTTAATATTTTAAACATATCAATATATCTTTAGCCCACAACGTGATTCCTTTCTTTTTATCAAAAATTATTTATTCCAACCAAACGCGCTAAGTAGGACTATTATAAATATTTCTTAGAAACCAACTCCTACGTGACATTCCGTAGTAGATTAAGGAAACCATTAATTTTAAAAATAATTTTTTCTTATATTTAAAACAAAATACTAATAAAACCTTTAATAATAGAAAACATTATTGCACAATTTAAATAGCTTATTTATTTTATCTGTACTTTATTTGTTATACAAATAATAAAGATTTATGTTTATATAACAATTAGAATTTTTAATTTATTCAAAATTAAATATTTCACCGAATAATGACTAAGTAATACAGACATATAATGGCTTTATACAAACAGAGTCATTTGTTCGTGTTATTTTGTTCAGCGTATTATAATATTACATACTACAATTTTTCCTTACGTTAGCCTTTTTAAAAAAAAAAAACTCTAAAATCGACCTACCAACATAACCAACGTTCCGTACAATGCTTCATTTATTAAACGATGTCTTAACAACAAGTATCTAACGGTTTGCTCGCTCTGCACAATCAAACTACAGATTGTTGTATGACGAGTAAATTTTTATTGCAATAATTAATTATGTTTTTTGTGTTTTGGATGAAGGATTTAAAGTCAAAATATTTAACTGGTAAGTTACTAAAATGTTAATTATTAATTTCAAATAAATTGTTAAAAATCACTTTTTATAACTAACATAACGTTAGTATTAAATTTTACGGACTATTTAACTAAAGCAACTACTGAAATACAACTAAAAATAATTGTTGTATTAGGCGCCTTGATATTCCTGCACTGTGTATATTTTAGTTTTATAATAAATATTCTATCGTTTATAACATAATTTTCTTAATTAATACTTTTTTTATACATTTAAATGATATTTATTCCTTATTTAAAAAATCGATTTAATTCTGAAAGTAGTCATTAAATTAAAAAATGTTGAACTTTTAAATTTGAAAATTGTATGTAATGATGTATTAATGATCCTAGTGATTTGATTATATTATTCTGTATTTAAATATTTATTTTTTGTTTTGCACTCCTACGGATTTTGCCAACATATCCTTATGATTTTTTAACGTTTTTTGTACTTTCCATTAAAATATACTTTATAATTATAGGATAACCTTTCTCTCATTTTATTTCGTAATAAAATTAATAGTAGAGTAGTCAAAAATTTATTGATTACAAAATGAAGAAATAATTAAAACTGTTTAATTTTTGGTTAAATAAACTCTTTTCGTTATTTGCAAAATATTTTTATACTGTAATTGTATTGTCTCGATTTTTTTACATTAGATATAAATAAATATAATACATATATATAAAAAATTAAAATACGTTGATAATTTTACGTAAATAATTTACCAGTATTATATCATAGATAATATTTATATAAGTCATTACCCATAACTATATCAAAAATAAAATAATTTTTTTTTTTAAATTATTGGTGTAGCAGAAATTTAATAAGTTTCAAGGTTTTTAATTCACTTTATTTAAGATAATAATTGTGGTCATGCTATAGTATTTTTTAAAAATGATGTCAAAAATTAATTATTGATACAATCATTTGTTATACATTATTCAAAATTAAATCAACTAGAAAAATTATTTAGTTTTATAAAATTTTATTTTGAGCTTTGTTAGAATTTAATAGTTATAAATAAATCTTTTATGTTAACCTAACATAACAAAGGGTTATTCATAATAACCCTTTGATAATAATAACTTATTTTTTCATATATGAAAAATTATTGTTAAAAGAAAATTACAATAATAATTAAACAAATATGTTATCATTAAGTTTGCATTTACACTAAGGACTATTTTCATTATATATAGGTCTATTTTTGTTATATGTTATTTAAAAAATAATTAACGGTATATATTTAAAGATCTCTTAGATTTGTCGAAAATTTTTTCTAAAATATTTCAATTTTAATATATTTAGAATAGATACTTTCGAGAAAGATAAAAATATCTCTTATCTATTATAGGAAAATGATGTTCTTTAATAATACTTCTGTTTATTTACTTAGTAAACAGTCTTTTAATTTAATCTAATTTCTAATTATTACGTGTTTATAAATATTTTGATTAAAATTATTTAACTACATAAAAACTTTGATATTGACATTATAATATTTCGTAAAATAGTATAGTTTGTAAAAATAACTTATTGTACCTACTTGACCTATTTACACAACTTTTAATATATAATGTTACGTTATGTAATACATGAGTTTTAAACAAATATTGTTTAACTAGTTAAAATAGTGTTTTGTTGTTTTCACATTTAATAAACAAAATTTAAATATTAAAAAATTATTGGTATTTTATAAAAAGATAAACATAATTTTATGTATACATTTTTTATTGCTCAGATACAACAAGTTATTATTATGTATTAAAAAATAATAATATAATGTACTTCATAATGCATAGCATGGCATTTCAAACAATTTTTAAATGTACTAACATAGAATATCAATAGTTAAAATATTTTGATAAAAAAGATATACTTCATATCAGTAATTGTATGACATGCAGAATGTAAATGAAAAAGTGTTGAGATATTCAAATTTTTCAGGCGGGCTGTATGTAGATACCATGTACAGAAAGGCATGGCTCTAATACGCGCATTATAAATATAAAGCAGAGTTTATTGGTTTACATGTACAGAAAGTCATGTCGCCATTATTTACTGAAAAGTATAAATTCTGTACTTTATATTGAGCAACGACTCTGTAATTTTAAAACACTTGATGTAATAATTCATGAAATGCTTTGAATAAAATGTCATAATAATTGTTGATAAATGTAAGCCAATGCATTTTGAAGTTGTTGAGTATTAAATATTTAAAGTATTATAACAACTTAATGTATCTGATGCACTTTTATTTTTGTATTACCTAATTATTTATTAAAAAATAAAATACAATTTAATAAAAACACACTTATCAAAAGTGTGTTTAAAATGGACTTATACAATACAATCATTTTTGGCATAAATTAATAAAAATATTGTTTTATATACCATATAATATTTTGTAATAAATCAAAAAAAAAAAAAGAATGGTTAAATATTATATAAAATTAAATCACACAAGTTTATTAATTGTGAAAATTGAATTTTTTAATCAGATATCATAGGATTATAATTTAGCAAAGAAACCTTTGTCAGCATGAAAGGAGGGACATATTTCAAAAAAGAAATTTTAACTTAGGGAGTATTAACCACAAGGTTATCTTAATTATTAATACATAATTGTACTTTATACTATTTTATTTATTATTATTATAACTTAGTTATAGTAATAATACATCACGAATTGTAATATAACTAATAACTATATCATGAAAAAAATGATTAACCTCCATTTTACATTTTTGTTTTATCTTTACAGTGTATAAAGGGGCATAACTAGAGTTATTTAGTGTTCAGTAAATAAGGAAACAGATTTCTATATTTCTTATTGTTTGTAAAAATTTACCAGTTTCCATATTTACTGAATATTCTGTATAAGCCACCCATTTTCCAGGAAAATAATGATAATTTATTACTTTTTTATTAGAAAAAATACTATTAAGTTTATACAATTTTTATGTTTTCAAATAAAAACATTCTTATTTAATATTTTTATTTTATTATTTGATTTAATTAATATTACAAGATAGCTAATTTTTGATAATTTATATTATTTGATTTTCATTCTTTCTCAATAATATATAATTGATATCAATAAGCATATATGTTTTTATCTAATATTTATTGAATTGTGACACCTTAATTCCAAATTGATTAACAATAGTCATTTTTCACTTAACTTCCTTATTTTTTCATCTCACTGCCAAATTTTTTCAATTTTTCAAGATATACTTTAATTGCGCAGTTTATAGCAGTTGCTATTAATGAACTAAAAAAGCCTCTTGTTAGTGTTTTTACGCATAGTATATTTGTTTTGGCGATAAATCTTTGTAAGCAGAAAAATCGGTCGTTAATTAAGTTTTGGCTTTGATCATACTCAGTTATTAATTTCCGCACTTCTGTATCATTGAAGAGTTCATACCCTGATAAATTTCTTCGACAAAATACATACTTTGTAGGCAAATATTTCATTGAATTACTATAAAATCAAAAAGTTGAGAACAATTGAATTTTTTATACTAATAATACTTTGATATTTTTAAATCCTAAGTACTTCAATTATTTTTGTTTAACTTAATTATTTATATCTAACTTTTTATTTAGCCTAAAAAAATAAGTTATATATTACTTATTTTACATATCTTACTTAGTTCTTTTAAATATTTTGTTGACGTCTTCTTTTTCATAATTAAATGTTGAGGTACCATCGTTAAACACGCATATGTTTTTTTCGTTTTCTATATTCATCTCAAATACTATCCCAAGTTGACTGGGCTTTCCATATATAAACCATTCAATAGAATTGTCCTCATTTTTTAACATTACAGGATTATCTAAGTTAAGAATTACTTCGTTATCATTTGACCTTAGTGAAAATAGTCCGCAGTCATTCCAAACTGCAGTTATGCCATTTATTTGATCTAACACAATAGAAAGGCCTCTTACTTCAAATTTAACGTGTAAATTGCCACCTAAATCTCCTAAAATATTCCCATCTGAAAAATATAAAGTTATATGATCATGTCTTTTCTGTATTAAAGATCTATTTTCTTGGTCATATTCAATAATCAAGCCGTCTTCTAAACAAATAACCACATCAAATTGATATTTAATCCATTTTGCTGATAATAATGTACCATTGTTGAAACCCATATTAATCTCAATGGAAATTGGATTGTTCAAGCGATGTGTACTCACCCAATATTTGGGACATACTATTTTAAAAATATGTCTTTGTTCATAATGATCAAAACAATTTCCATAAAGTCTATACACCTCCATTGAAGTCTTGTACTCTCCGTTAGCCGTTATGTAATATTTAGTCGTTCCAATTATATTAGAGTAATTTGAGTTGCAATAAAATCGTTTAATGATATCATTAAATTGTTCAGTATTTCTGAAATTCATTGATAAAATATTTTTCTGTATTAAATTTAACTACAATTACATTATGTCAATAATTTTAATTAATGATTATTTTTATAAAAGTTATAAAAACTTATCTTTAGGTGTGACTAAAGGTAACTTTTCAGTTTACTAATTAGTTAATAAATTGAAATATTAAATTTTCATTTCAACTATAAAGTTGTTGCAACACGTACTTGATTGCGTAAAGTACTTTATAAGCATATTCTTGGAAACTTTTTGGGCCAGTTAGTTGAAAATCATAAGTATATTCAACAAATTTGTCTGGTTTTTCATCGAAAAAACAAAAAATTAAAGTATCTGTTAATGCTGAGTATTTTACGTCAAAATTAATATATTCTAATGAATATTTGACTATTCGTTGAGCTAATGTATACGATTCTAAGTATTCTATATGAGTATTTTGAAATACTGGATGTTCAGCAGTATCATCGTTTTCGTCAAATATGTATAGTAGATAATCCAAAGCTAAGAATTTTTTTATTATTCCTTGGTATTCTTTTGGAAAAATTTCATTTATTTTAATTTGGCTACTTGGTTCGAGTTTTGATAATCTATGCCAATCTATTGTTGCTAAAAATTTAATATTTATACACATTGAAAACTGTTCAAGAGACAAGCTAGATAAAATATTTGATTCAGTTAAAGAATCGTATAATTGTTGTACCAAACAAGCAAGTAATCTACTGTCAGTCTTTGAGGGTAATGCTGGCCAAAAACTAGAAACATAAGATAAAGCAATTCGTGTAGTTCGTTCGACACAAGATACAAATCGAGAATCTTGAATAGCCATCTCCAATATCAAATCACCGTCCTCTACTATTGTTGGCATCCATCGTTCAGTGCTGAATAAAAAATTTCTGTTGTTAAGCGAACCACATAAGTCTTCTAGGATAGCGTCTAAAATAACTTCAATAGTTATAGCATTTTCTGAAAATTCGTCTAAAATAGAATAATAAGTTTTCGTCGAATCGCTCTGGAAGTCTTTGGTAGATGGCAAGCTGATTAAACTTTTAATATGCGATTGATAACTCCGAAAAAGTATATCAAAGTCATCAATTATTGCTGTGATACCACCATCTGGCCAAAAATAATGAAATAATGGTATTTTACTTTTCCATTTTATCAAATGATTCTCAAAATTTGATTCAGTTTCAGACACTAATACTATAGCAAATACAAAAATTTCATTTTCGGTAATTAATGGTTCGATTTGATATGGATCGTGAAAACCTATAAGAACTATAAAGTTTGTAGTAGAGTTATTTTTATTTTTTAATTCAATTTCACGCAAATACTGAGCTATAATATCGAGCAAAGTTCCGCCAATATTTGATTTTATTAATAAAGCTTCACGTCGTGTTAAAATATTGAATGGACAATCACTTTTCAGACACTGAGCTTTTAATTTCCTTACAAGATTTTTTGAAACCAAACTAGCAGTTTCAAGCACCATTAGAATTATAAATGGCATATTTGATAATTTTAATAAATTAACGTGAAAATGATATATACGTAAGTTTTTTTATTTTAACTATAAAATAAAACTTATATTATTCATCAGTATTATGTAATATTATATTCAGTATAAACATAAAACAATAATTAATTTCTTCCTTGTTATCATAACTTTTTTCTGTTTTAATAAATTTGTTACCTTTCAGAAAATGCAGAAAAGTCTATTTAAATACTTTTTTGAATATTTAACAAAAACTGGTAAATCAATTCGTTGTGTTTTAAATAAAAAAAACATTTTGCCTGCTATACAGATTGCTTTGAGTAATACAGTAAAACATATAGAAACTAGTAACTAGGTAAAATTTTAGCAGTAAATTACAATAATTTAAAAATACATAATAATACTAAAATTAATTATTTAATAATATTACACTCAAATTCACATCAGTATCTATTTTTAAAAGGTTTCTTTTGATATTTTGGCTTTAATTTCTACACATCATTATTTTAAGAACTGTCCTACGTTGGTAGTGCCGAAACATAGATGCAATAATAAATACACAAATTAAATTAACACTTTAAACGTCAAACTCATCGTTTTTGCTCTTCTTAAGTCCTCTTGTTAGATAAACTGGCCAGTCCCAATCCTTCTAGTTGGTGAACCACTAAATGGTTAGTATTATACCCGTCAGCACGGTCTAGCTCAAAAGTAGCAGACTAAAGGGTGTTTCCTCATTAGCCACAGGCACCACTACCTTTTTACTATACCCACTAAAAGACAGTTAAGCCCAAAAACTAGCTACTTTGCAGACTAACCGTTAAGACTGACTAAAAGACCAGTAGTCCAACCTTAGCTTTAGAGTATTACAACTAGTAAACAGTTACTATTAGTAACCAGGTCTGGATTAAGAAGGGTGAACGCCCTGGAGTCCACAAGCACAAGGGGCTCATCTCGAATTTAACTTGCCTAGTTTTGATGATTAACTAGTTTTTCTGTTTTTTGTTTTTGCTTCTTAACTTTTTAATGTAAACTACCACCATTACTTTTGTTATTAATCTGACGATACTGACCATTCACACAATAAAATTGCCATAGTTGATTGGGTCAATTAGTCAAAGCAATGCCTGACCAACTCAAAACCTTCGGCTTCTTCATTAAATCAAAATCTAATGTAATTATTATCTACTTGAGCCATTTTTGTTATTAATTATAGGTACATAAATTCGTGACAGCGAAAAATTTAAAACTACACCTTTACATAGAATATTGTACACATGAAATTTATTGGTTACTTAGTATAACTATACTCTATTATATTTACTAGTTAAAAACCCCAACTGATGTGTATAATGATTGAATCTTAAAGTAAATATTAGCTATCTATAAAATCATAATGTTTATAATCTCTTTGATTTATTCACATTAAAGGAGAATGGGGTCCACCAAAGAATTATTTATTAAAAAAATATTCAAATAGAAAATAAATGTTGGTTTGTACCTTAAAATAAAGATAGACTTTGTAAATTGTTATTAGTAGTAAGACCATAAAATAATATGGATTAAAAGATAAAATTAAAAAAATAATAACAAAAATTAGTGTATTAACTACTTAGGAGAATCGGAAGTTTTAATCAGAGATTAACATGGTTGTCGAGTAGCTTAGTACAAAAGGTTTCATCGGGATAGCGAGAGAATTGCGTTCGATTTCCAGTCGACTGGCATATTTTTTCCAAAGTTTCTATTATAAGTATAGTAAAGATTATATAGCTTAAAATGCATTTTTCATTATTATGTTTAAATTTTGATTTGTTTAATAATTAACTTATTTAATAGTGTAGTGTATAAGTTCGAATATGTTCGACTGTCAAGAGTGTCCATTAACAGATAGCTAGGGAAATCTGTGTCCATTGTGTTGCTTAGACATTTTATTTTTAATGATTTTTAGGAATTTCGGCTGACAATGACCGCCAAAAATGGTATCACTTTGTTATGCGTTTTACGTTATTGAATTCCCACAATTTTACATGAATATTATAAAAATATTATATTGTGTAGGTTATTTATTATAGATTAGTTACTCAAATATAGATATTCAAATATATATATTAAAAAAAAATATCGTACTGTCTATCATATGTAATTTATTGTACAATTTTTTATAAATTATTAGCAATTATTCAAAAATGATTGCCAAGTCTTGTACTCGTCGAACATTACTTCTTTTTTAACTGTTTTATCATTATATGCTTTCGATTTATAACTCTTCTCAAATTCTGTTTTTGCTTCGATTGTATTACTAAAGGAACATATATCTTTACATTCAAAACTATTATTTCCGAATTTATTTTTATCATTTTTTTGTATTCCAAGAGCTGAACCTTTTAATTCAGCTAGCCACTGTGTTAAAGACTCTTCGAGCTCTAAATCTTTTTTGTACTTCGCATGCAAATCTGGAAAAGCGGCTAAACCCATTCCTCGACGAGCTTTAAGCATTCGTCGTCTTTCAATTTCTCTCTGTCTTCTAATAGCATTGCTTTGTGTCTTGACCTTTTTTCGAAATAATTTTACTATTTTATGACAAGAAAGTAAAAAAACGATTTTGTATTAGATTAACTTTAAGATATAATATACAATTTTATTGAAATGGTACTGTGTATCAAATAATAATTAAAAGAAATAAATTATATATTACGTCATGAAAATAAAAATTATAGAATCCATTACTAAATATATAGATATATATTTAATAATAATATAATAGACATTCGATTCTTATTATACATTAATGTATATCACCCATTCAAGGACGTCACTAATTAAATCAATTAGTTTTAATCACTCGTAATTGGAAGAAATCACTTAATTGAATTATTTTAGATTAACCTACATTATTCAAGTTATCATCAAGTTCTTTTAAAATATTTTTTTGTAATTTTATATCTTCTTCTAAAGCAACTGATTTTTGATAAATATGTGTTACTCTCTGTATTGTTGAGACAGTCCGATTTCGGTACTTAGCTATTTCATTTAACCTTTAATAAAATTATATGTACAATGAAATTAAGATAAAATTTTGTTTTACAATGGTAAATTTGAATTCTTTTAATAATATTGGATAAATCTACAAAAAACTCATCAACTTCTACTTCTATTTAAAATTCACATTTTAAAATGTTTGTGAAGTTAAATCAAAATATTGAAATTTAAAAATGCTAATTTTTCAATTTTTAATATTTTATAAATCCGTAAAAATATATAGCTTGTTTTA